GCGAAGGAAATCAAAGTCAAAAACTAATCATCGTAGTCCACAGGATGAATAGCGCACAGAATCACCTCTTCTAACCTGCGACCAGTAAGACGAGATTAAATAGTGCCTGATGGTGACCATTCTGAGAAGGGATAGCCTAGAAAGTCCTGGGTAAAATGGCAGGAAAAGGTAGCACAAAATTCAAACTCCTATAAACAAACAAACAACAACAACAAAACTGGTCAGTCCTGCTGGAGCAACAGAAACTAGACAACTCCCAAGACTATCGCTCTAAAGTAAAATAACGGTTGGACTTGGAATTGGCACTGTTCCTATGGCCCATCTCCCAGCCAAATAACAGGTTGGCTTATTGTGACTTAAGCCTTCCTCTAAACCATTAACTACAGGAGGGCAAGCGGTCACCATTTGCCCAAAAGCACAGAGTAGGAGGGTAAGGAAGCTAGACCATTGGAAACAGGGAGGCTGCTGACACTGGTCAAAACTGTAACCAATGGCACAGAGCCATCTCTACATAAATCGTTATTTGCTATGTAGTGTCACCTCAAATATGTGGCATATTATTAGTATTTAAAAAAGAAAGGCCTACATCTCCGTGGGGCCTTCGGGAGAATTTGGTGAGGGGTTTGCATTCTAGGTGCAGCGGCATTCCTCTCCTCATCGGCCTCGCCATCATCATCACCATCATCATCATCACCAAGCATATCTACTCAGGCGGCCAAGGCAACCAGGTGGACGCCGCAGACACGGGCAGCGCGAGCAGGGGGGTGGATGGTGCAAGGTTCCCTGCGTTCGTCCCTGGGGAGATAGCGCACACTCGGGTGCTCGGAGACCACCTGGGCCGAGCTGCCCAATCTGTTCGCACATCATTGCCAACCCTCATAAACCCGCCCGGCGGGGGACGCGCCAGCCCCGCAGCCCGGGAACCGCAGGCTGATTGGAAACGACTGCTCCCGTGGCACAATAACGCTGGGTCGTAAAACAAACAAACAGCAACAGGCCGTCTGCGCGGCAGGGTAATGTGTGCAGGGCTTGGAAAACAAAAGTCCGCAACGATTCCCCTAAGAGCCCCGGGGAACCTTTTATCTTCCACTGAACTACTCTTCTCCCACATTTAATTATACTCACACCTCCTACCTCCATCCCCAAGTCTCGGGGCCCCAGCACACCCAGTGCTTCCCGGGGACACGCGGTGCCTCTGCAAGGCCTCTGTTTGACGCGTCGAGATAGGGGACAGAGGCCCGGGTTGTGGGTTCCGGGGCCCCCAGGTCCCGCGCTGCACCGCTGCGGCGGCAGCGGGCGAACAGCGGGCCTCGCTCGGCGGCCGCTAGAGGGCACCGCAGCCCCGCGGATCCTCGCGCGCCCGCCCGCGGCTCGGGCGCTGGGTCGTAGGCACCGTCGCCAGGACGCCGCTAGCAAACTCTCGCCGGGACGGTTCGGCCCCGGCACTGTCTGGCCCCCGCCACTGCCCGGTCCCCCGGCCCCTCCGCACTCACACCAACCAACGCCGTGGGTCGTGCCCCCTGCCGCCGCCTCCACGCTTTGGGCGCCCGGTGTTGGAGATGACGCCCGCTCGGGGTCCGGGGTCTCCGCGCCCCTGCCGGCCGTGATCCCGGCCTGGGCTCGGGAGCGAGCGACGGACGGTGAGACCCGAGACTAGACGCTGGGCGTTTGCATTGTTTTCGTCGCAGACCCGGCCGGGGGCCGGGCGGGGTGGAGGGAGAGGGGCCGGGCTGCGAGGGCAGAGGGTTTAGGGTTACAGGCGCGCGCCAGCGCCTCCTATGGGCCCACCGGCGCCCGGCCGCCGCTCGGGGAAGCCAGAGGCCGACCGTGGCTGCGCCCCCACGGCTCTTAAGAGCCCGCCCCGCTCCGATGCCACTTTGCCCGACGCTCGCCGCGCCCGCGACCGCGTCCATGGAGCAGGGCCCCGGCTGCGGCTGGGAGCAGCGGGAAAAGTGAGCTGCGCGTCATCCTTCCTTTCTCCAACTTTTCTAACCTTTCGCGGCCGAGGCGTTCAGTGCCAAACAAAAGGAAATGCCGCCGGGTGGCTGCAGCCAAAGCCAGACAGCATGCAGAGACGAAGCTGAGCGCAGTCGGGAGTAGAGTTGTGCGCCCCAGTTCCAGGCAGAGCCCACAAGAGCCACCCCTCCCCTCGACGGCCGGTGCTAGGCGCGGTCCTTGCGGGGGCACGCTAAGAGGCGCACCTTTGGGTTCCCCCCACCCCGCAATCGCTACTTTCCCACCAGCGACGTGGAAACCGGGCCGCCGCTCCCGGGAGGCCGGAGGGCGTCTTGCCCGCCAGGGTCTGCAGAAAGGCTCTGGCCACCACGTCCCCAGGACGCGGCCCGGCCCGGCGCGCCGCCCACGTCCCGTCCCCAGGAGGCGCAAAACCCGCCCGCCTCGGCGCCAGACGCGTTTGCAGCTGGAGAGCCCAGCCCCACGCCCCTCCCCTCGCCCCCCTCCTCAGCCCGCGCCCCCAGAGGAAAGCTTCTCAGGGCCCAGAGCCAGGAGTCCCGATTCTGCACCGCGTCCCTCCGGTCCAAGGGCTGGCGAAAAGACCGAGGCACCAAGCCTCGGCGACAGGCGCCTTTTGTGACCCCCAAGACTACCTCCTCCTTACCCTCCCCCTCCATATTCCAGGCCTAAAATCTAACTGCTCTTGAGGCAAACCACAAACAGCACTGTACCAGAGGCTCTGAGCAGGGACAGGCCTGGAAGCCAAAATTAAGCTAGTCTGCTTCCCCACTCCCGCCGGTCCGAGAGGCGAGGAAGGGCCCCTGGCCCCGCGGAGTGTGGACAGGAGGAAACCGCAGGGGAGGGTAAAGGGGGGAGAGGGTACACTACAACAGCACCAGGGGCCAGGTCGCCAAGGTGGGGGAGGGTAAAAACCAGCCCCCGCGCCACCGCGGGTTTGGAGCAAAAGCCCCGGCGCCCTTCGGGCCCCTCCTGCGAGCCCCGGGCCAGCCTGGTCCCAGGCCGTTGGTCCGCACGCTGAGAACCGTTGTGCTCTAAATACCTTGGATGCCCACTCTACTCCATAAAGCTGCCTAGTGCGATCGGGAACTACCAGGGCGAAGTGGGCCAGTCCAAAACGTTGAGCAATTCGGCCACAGCGCCAAAAAAGCTATTTCCCATACCGCCCAGCCCAGGGCTTTTCCAAGGAACTGGGCCGGGCGCGGAGCGACCCGGGCAAACGGGGGCCAATCCACGCGACCTCCTTAGGCCGCGTTTGCCTCCCACACCGGAAGATGAAGTTAGGTGTCAAGTTTTTGTAGACAGGCACTCTTTTTGGCAAATTCTGAAGGCTTAGCGGGGCTGGGGAAGCGAGGCGTGGGGGGCGCGCGCTCCGGCTGCAGGGCAGTGGACAGAGACGGAGACTCAAAACCAGGCGAACCGACAGCTTCCGCACACCTCGCTAGGCCTCCCGGCCTCCAGCTCCCTCGGGCAGCCGGACGTGGGGGGTTCGGGTCACACTCCCTCTTTCCCCCCAAGCAGGCTGTGACCCTTTCCGGACCGAGCCCTTGAGCCCAGTCTTTTCGACTTGAAGAGGGCGCCGCCCGCTCCCCTGCGGCGGCCAGAACAGTTCATCTGTTGTCACGGGAAAGTCGGTTTTCCACGGGTATGCACGGCTACGGACGGCGGGACGCAAGGCCCCGACACGGGCTGGAGACGGAGAAAGGAGGCCACTGGAGAGACGAAAGCCGCGCAGGGCGCGCGCAGGCGGCCAGTGCCACGCATCCGGCGCGCAGCGGAGCACGGGGCGGGGGGTGCACGCGAGGGATCCACTGCCCGGAGGGCGGGAGGCGGGGGGCGACAGGCGAACGGCTCGCCTCCCACCGCTCGGGCTTACCTGGAACCCAGCTTTTCCGTTCCGGGACGTGCCTAACTTCCTTCCGAAAGGAAGGAAGAAATTCGGTACTTTTCTGGCAACTTCCCCTCTACTTCTCGGGGCCAGGACTGGCCAGCCGCAAAACCCAGGTTGGACAGAACCGGTTCCACTGGAGCAAGGAAGCGCGCAGGGGGTGGAGACCACCGCACACAATAAGAGCCCCTCGGAGCGCAGCTCGGAATTCCTCAAACCCCAGTTGCTGGAATGCGAGGCGGCGACGACTTCTTCACTCGGGGCCAAATGTGTTTGTCATTACTGCAGACCGCCCGGCCGCCGCCGCCCCCGCGATCGGAGCGCGCCGCGGGACCAGCGCCCGCTCTCCCTCGCACCTCTGCCCTGGCGAAGGGCTGGGCAGCGCCCCCCAAAACCTTCGCCCAATCCCCACGCCCCCTCGGCTCGTCTGGCTAACCGCTGCAGTCGTGCTGGGTCTGGACTCCCCTCGGTCCCGGCGCAGCGCCGTCCAGCAATTCAGCGCGCTCGGCCGGCGCCTGGTGCACCCGGCCGGCCCGCATCCCCGGTCCGCCCTCCGCCAGCTGAGCCCTTCACGCCTCTCGGGCCCCGAAGCCTATTCCCGCGCCCCTCACCTCTCCCCTGCGTTTCCCAGCCGCGCTCCACGCCGCTGGGTGCACTGCAGTCCTGCCAAACCGCGGGCGAGGAATGAAAATACTCATTAAAAACCTGTCTCCTCTCAGGACTCGTTGCCAAGAAAAGGGCAAAAACCCTCTGCCCTCACCCCCAGGGTCACTTGGTGCTGGCCCCGGTATCCGCGACGACAGCCCCCACCCCCAAAAGAAACCTCAAAAATGTAAGCCAAACAACTTCTTGGAGAAGTCAAACAACAAAACACTGCTTTTAAAAATAGGTCTGAGAAATGTGTTGTTTTTCTCCGACCCTACACTTTTTTCTATACTCTCACTTTAGGTCCTCCTGTCCCCCTCCTCCAGTGAGAGCTTATTCAGAATCGATGATTCTGTAGACAGACACGCAATTGGAATTCCATCCCATTCCTCCTCCACCACACCTCGACCCACAAAGTTTAAGTGAAGTTCTTCACTGATCCAAAGTCTCATCCAGGACTTCCCGGAGAAACTAAGCTCTTGTTTCCCTCTCTCACCTTCTCCTCCGAAGTCAGTCTGTAATGGAACTCCTACACATCCAGCCCGCAGGGTGCCCACAGCCTGCAGTGCCCGCCTTGGTTTCTCTCTCCCTGGCTCCAATCGTAATGGGCTCAAAAACCGCGTTTTGTAATTGATTCAATGTTAGAGTCTATCCTCAAACTAATCATTTGCTCTAAGTAAATAGCTGTCAGAAAACGAAGGCCCCTCCCCCACCCTGGGTCTCTTCAAAATAAAAGTCCCCCTCGAATTCCCGACTTGCTGACTCTCTCAACCTCTAGACTGAGCCCTTCGCCTTTGCTCTTACGCAATCAGGGGGATCCAGCCACCAGCCTCACCCCACCCACCCCCGACTTCAACAACTGCGGGGCGGGGGGGGGCCGCTGAGACAGAGAAGAGCGGACCAGATGGAGTGGAGGTGGTCGAAGGGGGAGGTGTCGGTGCTCTGCGGGGGGGATGGGGACGGAGGTTTCCTGATATTGCAAACTGCCCATCATTTCCAGAGTTAGGCTTTCGAATTGGGAGACGCGAGCCTCTGTTGCTGTACTAGTTTGTACTGACATGGAGGCCACAAAACCGTGCGGTCAATACCCTGAGAGAATAGAAATCTGAGATCTACAGATGTCCTTTCCCAAGAAACTCCAGGTCCAGCTAGAGCAGGGGTCTCGTAGAGGTCCCGTGGTTTTGAACCTGGGATCTTTTTAGGAAACGTACCTTTTGGTTGCTAATCCTTTAATGGGGTAGGCAAACTCTGGAGACCAACGTAACAACGATGGGGTGTTTTTGTTGTTTTTTAAGAGACGGGGTGGGAACGGGGTGGGAAGATTCGAGGGTCTGCGTGGGCTTGGATATTGTGTCGCAGCACGACCTCTACGCCCACGGAGCCACTTTATCTTGTCCTGCCTTTGTGTTCGGGGTTATGAGGGGTGAGGTTACCCAAGCGTCTTTTTCCGCGTACAGGGAGGCACAGGCTGGGCCATGGGGAAGTTGTCCACCACTAGCTAGCCTACCTCCCCGGCATCCAGGGGGAGGGTGTGTTTGGGGCCCCACCTGGGGCTAGCCCCTAGGAATGCCCTGCGATCGAGAACGAGCCAACCCCTGCGCCCGTGGCGCGAGGCTGCAGACCGCTAGGAAGCAGAACGATCCTGCTCCTGAGTGAAAGGGGGCGCTGACGCTCCAGGAACCAGGCCTGGGCTGAGGGAGGGCTGCTAAGGAGCCAGCGAGGGGGAGGGGAGCGCTTACCCTCCCCGCTTTCTCTAATTTTGAATTCTTTTGTTGGAGGAGTCGGGGTGATCTTGATGCCCCGCCCACCGCCACTTCCCACATCAACACACAAACACACGCACACGTGCACGCCCTCAGAGCGACCAGGTTGAGGTTGGCATTTGGGACAGCCGCCACCTTTTCCCAGACCGGGAGGGTGAGCCCTAGACGGCGGCAAGCAGTGGGGTGGAGAAATACAACCAAAAGCTCAGTGCTGCGTTTAGCAAGGCGGGACTTTCGGGGTGTCGGGCTAAGGAAGAGGGTTCCTAGGGGCGGACGAGGGCCCCCACTCCCCCGGCCCTTTTGCGAGCACCTTCAGCTAGCGTGACTTCGGGGCCGGCTATTACTTCCACATGTTCCTTCAGGAAATCATTGAAGGCAAATATATGAACAGCCCCTTGTTCGGAATGCTAACGGATACCGTAATGTTTGTAGATAATGAACAGAGGAACGAAGCCTCCCCAAAATCAGAGTGCGGGGGTAAAAGGGGAGAAAGGTGGGGGCCGACTTGCAAGCCCTTTCGCGCGGAGACCCGGGTTTTCAGTCCAGGTGTCCAAGAGGGCCGAGGCTGGGGCGAGGCCTGGAGCTTACCTTTGGGGGCGGCGAGGGGACCCTGCTTTGCTGCTAAGGCAGCTTCCAGCAGGGCCAGTCCTGGTCCCCCGCACTCCGGGCCCCAGTGTTCCCCGCCCACCAACCGTAACTTCGCAGTTGGCTTCAGAGGCACTTAAAGGGGCCCGAAAAGCGGCCCGGGCTGGGGTGTCTCCCGGGCCGTAAACTCCGAGTTGAAAGCTCAGAGAATGGATGGATGAGCCTGCGAGCGCCCAGTTGTCCTTCTGGTAGTAATTACCTGCCTAATTTGAATGATGCCTTTGTTATGATCATTAACAAACATTTGCTAAAGGTTTCCATGTGTGACATTCTCGAAGGTTTAAAGGCCTGGAGAGCTGACTCCGAGGATAGCGCGCCGGTGGGGGGTGGCGCAGGGAAGCAAATGGTTGGGGGGCAGATTTTGCCGAGCTGGGTCCCAGCAAAGACCGGCGGGTCAACATCTGTCTCGCCTGCCAAAGCAAAATAAACGCAGTGCGCAGGAGCCACCGCGGGGCAGGAGGCCCTGGAACCCGGGCAGACCGCGCCCCAAACCGAGTCCTGCTGGGCAGCCTCGCTCCCCCGCCCTCCCTCGACTCGGGGGGAAGTTTGAATGCCCGGGTCACACACACACACACCGAAGCGGCCGGCCGGCTGCTCGCAGAGAAGTCCGGTCCGCGCGCGGGACCCGTAACTTGGGCCCGTGCGCCTGGGAAGTGAGCGAGCCGGCGGCTCGGCCCCTGGGGTTCCGAGATCCGCCCAGATTGCTCCCCCGACGCCCGGGTGGTCCGAGAGCGCGGCAGAGGCGCGCAGCGGGGTCTGCTCCGGCTCGGCCCCGGGGAGGGGAGAGGGGAGAGGGAAACCGATCTGGGACGGTGAGTAAAAGTCCCAGCCCCGGCCGAGTTTCTTCAGGCTGACCGCCCCCACTCCTTCGAGAGAGAAGCAAAGGGTTAAGAATGAGATTTTTCTCCGAAAACTGGGAGTCAGGCTAGGACCGCGACCGGAGGAGGAGGAGGAGAAAGAGGAGGAGGTTCTGCTCTGGGATGGAGCTGAGGGGGGTTCGGGGAAGGAGTGGGGGCGGGGGCGCG